CCACAATGATAATTTGGAAAACATTTACTATAGAAATGACAGAAATAATATTTATTTGGCTAAAACATGGATCAATAATATGAAAAATKTAGATTTAGACATGCAAGTGCCGGAATTTAAGTCACTAAGTAACATTGAATAAAGAAAACAAACATGAAAAAACATTGAAAAATCATGGTCAAATCCCATGATCTCTCAGGGATGATTTACATGCTGGAGACGTAGTATAAATGTATTCATCAATTCCTCAAGGTAAGATGTATAGTCTTGTAAAATACTTATGAAGTTAGGGAGCAAATGTATATTAATATCTAACCTTAAGGAATCGATGCATTTACAAGTACATTTCTGCTCTACAATTATTGGCTGCAAATTTATTGTGCAAAGCCACTTTTATATTGAAGTATACTAAAAGTATACTTCATATTGAACTCCAAGTTTGATGTATACTAAAAGTATATATCACAAACATTTAGCAATTTCAATTTTAAGCGGCCATGTTGGAGGATATAACAAAATAACTCATTGACAATTCGTTTTTTAAGTTCCTCCAACAGCTGCCGTGAAAGTCATCAATAGACCTATCCCGAATTCGCTTGACTGGTCACGAAACAATGATTTTAAGTACAGGTTGCACTTGATGAATAAAAGAATCAAGTTCAGTAAAACCATTGTTTCTTGGTCAGTCAAGCAAATTCGGGATAAGTCTATTGATAGCTGAGCGGCTTCGCGCATGACAACTTTGAACTTGTTACCTTCGTTGTCTTTGCTTTTCTCGGCCTCAAGGGACTCGATTTATTTTATTTATTTATCCAGTAATCTTTTGCCTTCTTCCTTAGTCTTGGATGGGGTAGAAGTTGAACGTCTTTACTTTTGAAAAAGCTAACAATTGGCCTCATTTTCTTATTTTCTTATATTCTCTCAAATATTGGCAAGGACAATCCCCAGATAATCTTTTCTTCTAGGAGGCTTGAAAAAATTTTCAAATGAAAGATATCCCTGTTTTCCTGGGTTAATTGAAACTCTGAACTTTACTTTAAAACAACTATTACAAAATCAACAATTTTCATTCGCGCTAGCTAGCAGTCATAGCGGTCTCACTCTTTCCAAATCTCTAAAGCTCCCCCAAAGCCCTGGTTTTTCCCCAAACCCACAAGAATGCCTGCTTTGCAGGCTAATTATGGTTTTACTCTTACCTTTAGTTAGTACTATCGTTCTTGTATTTTCCCCTTTTCAATTTTCTTTCTGTGGAGAACTCAATCTAACTTCTTTATTTCACTGATAATAAAACAACGTGGCGTATCTCAACGCTGATCAAGACAACTCATTAATATGCCATGCGAATGTGAAACCGCTGGCCACGCATACGTTCATGCTCAATTTATTACATCTCCTCCCCCCCTTATTTAACGTTCCCTTGGAGTTCAATGCTCCAATGTTCATAAACGTATGTGGTCTACAAGTTCAGGCTATCTGGTGGTCGTCGAGACCTAATTGGGTATCTCCGGTTCTGTGACTCCACTTGACAGGGTGTGGAGGGACAGCTGGCTTGTGTTGTACTATCCCTAACTTCTGTGGCCTCCATCGATGGAGTCAAACCTTCTGTGGGGTTAGTAGGCATGCTTTTCTCTTGTGGAATAGCAACTGTCTCGGTTGGTTGTACTGGGTTTGGAATTAGATTCTGCCATTCGACTCCCTCCTGAGGACTTGAAGTAATATCTGATTCCTTGAGCTGGTCAATATGTCTCCTCCACACTAGGCCTGGCGCAACTTCTACCTCGTAATGCAGAGCTCCTGTTCTTGCCACGACTACTCCTGGCTTCCACTTCTCGGGACTCTGGTATACTCTGACAACTACCTTTTGACCAATCTGTAGTTCCCTCCTCTCCTTCTCTCTGCCTCCCCCTTGCTGCTCCTGTCTGCTATGCACCTTAGCTCTGGGGTCCGGCTTCATCAAGTCTAAACGACTGCGTAGTCTCCGTCTGAAAAACAACTATCCTGGCCATTCACCAGTGGTTGCGTGTGGTGCGTTTCTGTACGCCTGCATGAAATTTGCTAATTTGTGGTTGAGGTTTGTCTTTACTAGTTCCTTTTTCATAGCTTTCTTGAAACTCTGTACAAACCGTTCTCCGCTAAACCGTTCGTGGCCGGGTGGTATGGGGCAGACGTGATGTGCTTGATTCCATTTCGTTTTAGGAATTCCTGGAAGATGTGTGCGGTGAACTGAGGCCCATTATCACTGACTAGAGTTTGAGGGACCCCATACCTGCCAAAGATTTGTCGGAGCTTCTCAATGGTTTTTTCTGTTGTCGTAGACTGCATCACCTCCACCTCAGGCCACTTGGAATATGCATCGACTACAATCAGGAAAATTCTGTTTAGGAAAGGACCAGCAAAATCTACATGTATTCGTTGCCACGGTCCATTGGGCCATTCCCAGGGGTGTAGTCTTGTGATTGGTGGTTCATTCTGAATCAGTTGGCAACCAGAGCATCCCTTAGCCAAAGTCTCTATCTGTTTATCTAATGTTGGCCACCAAATCAAAGTTCTTGCTAGTCCCTTCATCTTTCCGATTCCTAGGTGCCCCTCGTGCAGTTCTTCTAACACCTTATCTTTTAGTTTGCTGGGGATGATTACCCTGTTTCCCCATAGCAAACATCCATCCTAGATAGTTAATTCGGACTGTCGTGCGTGAAACGCCGCCAACTCTGGTGGGTACTGCGTTGGCCAACTAGTCTCGGTGTACTCCCTGACTCTCGAGAGCAAC